TCTTTCCTTTTTGTCCTTGCTGCATTTCCGTATCTGCAAAATCACGTTCAGAGCGGTCTGCGCCTCTGCTCCATCTTCTCTATTTACACCTAAGGTTTCTCTTCGTATGTCCTTACTGCACCTACCAGAAAGAGATGCTGTTCAGGTTGTAATGCCAATTAAATTTAAGTCATTTGTATCATTTGTTAATAATGCAAAGAAACAAAGTGGTCTGTTTTTTAAGAGTACAATCACATGAGGGCTTAAAACCATGAATGCTTGTTTTTCAATGATAAGGTAAAGCTTTGCTACAAGCAGAAAAAAATCAGTGCATCAGTACTGCAGTACTCAAATTTTTCTCGTTAAATCTGCTCTGAGGGAAAAAATGGCAAGATTTCCCTGTCTTGCTGAATCCAGTTGCCCCACTACACTAGTCCTAGGGCTGCTACCACTCTTTTCTAGAAGAGCTTGAAGAGATGTGCTAAGTCTTATTAGTTAAGGTTTTAGAACACAATTGCCATGCAGTCATGCCCCACTGAAGATTGCTGCTGCTCTGTTTGGGAACCCCTGCTCTGGACCAGTGCCAGCCGATGTTTTTATCCAGGCATCAGCATTGTGTCCAGGAAGCTGTGTCCTAGAGTTCCTCTTCAGTTACACCAGCAGACCTACTCTTAGTCACAGAGGGAGCTGATCTTCACGTACAGAGCAAGTTCAGCCGTGTCTGGAAGATGCAGATATTGCATGCCTGGTCACAGAGCACATGCACACAGGTAAGTCTCTGCCCGCTTCCAAACCATCTTGGGAAAACACCAGAATATTCCACACACTGAGGTCGTACGAACTAATAATTTGAGGACAAACAAATCTAGACCTGTAAGGTGAACTTAATTGGTGCATCTGCACATACAAATGACTTAGAACTCCAGAAATCCATTTTTGTGATGTTTACAGTATAATATTACTTGAGCAAGGGTCTTTCTAATGGTCGTGTTTGTGATACCACTGGGAATAGGGGTAATGTCGCAAGTCTTACTGATACCTGTGAAGATCTGTGTTCCTCAAGTTCAAGCTGCTATTAGATTTAACCTAGAAACTGCTATTAGTTTTTTGTTTATTTTAAGAGTTTTCTCCAGCTTTTTCAAGAGCAGTGGGAAGAGCATGGTTTGGCGGTAGGAACCTCACTGTATCTGATAAAAGTGTAAAGGTATTTTTCAGGCTCTGGCCCTTCCCCACCAATTGATACATAATAGTGATGAGGATTATCACTTGAATCGCTCACAGTACTGATCTGTGACAATACCCTCAAGTGTCATAATGCCATTGAGTCTTCGGGGCAAAGGCCACTGGAGTTCCTGAAGGATTATTGGATGCAGACAATGGGCGAATCTCTTTCGTCTCACTACCAGTGTGCTCCCCAGGCGCTCTTTGGGAAACTTCATTCCATGTCTGTTTTCACTTAAAAATGCACAGAGGCATCTGCTTCCTATCTGAGCAGAGTGGGTAGAGGAGAGCCGTTTCCTGAAGCTCCAGACGCTGGCTGGAGCCGCGTGTAGTGTCGTTTTACCCTTGTGCCCAGCGCTCTTGAGGCTGTACAAGGCCTGGTAGTCCCCTGTGTCCTCCCTGCATGACAGTGGCTCATAGGACAAGAGATGAAGGGAGAGCAGGACTGGCTCTTCCCTCTGAGGGGAGCAGTGCATCACTGCCGTGATGCTCTGTGCAGATCTGAGAGAATTTTTCCTTAAGCTTTTTAAAACAAAAGTAAAGCTTCAAACAGGTCCACTCATCTACAGAGTAGAGCTGCTGGAAGGAAAAAGAGGAACAGTGCTTCCTTTTTTAAGTTCAGGTGACAACTGATCAAACTTAAAATAAACAAACACACACAATTTTTACTCCAGTCTGGCTGAACAGTGCTTTGCAGATGGATTAGCGTCTTAGCTGAAGTTCCTGTCGCTATTGAAACATTGAGGAATATTTTCCAACTTACCTTTTATATGTATGATGGGGTGAAGGAGCCAGAACGACTCCTGCCACAGCCATCCGCAGGGGCTTCAAGCAGAATACTGATGCTGAAAATCTGGATAGCTGGAGAAGAGCTGCGTAGTGTACCTGCCCGTGACAGGTGGCGTGGGTGTTTGCTGTAATAGACAAAATCTGCAACTTCTGCCAGTTTCTGGAATGAGCTGAGGAAGTTCATGCTGCATCTTTAAGAACCATATTCTAAAGACATTAAGACATTTCAGCACATGTACTGTATTTATTAGTCTTTATCACTAAACTTTCTAGATGGTTAAAGAATCAAGCTACGCCACATAGCAGAGGTGTTTGTTAATGACCTATAAAATGCCTGTAAATGGTAACACATTCTCTTCTTGCTCAGTACGTGTGCTAGTGTAATATATATATAGTCCTTAATATATTCATAAATATTAATCAGGTCAACCCCTCTAAAAGGTCCATAGCCTTTTCAGGCAAACACTGTTTGAATCTGTGGAGTACAATGAACTCTGGTTTACGCACCTCCTGAATTGAAAAGATGTACAAAGTGTAGGTTCTGAAAATTATTTAAAACTTGCACTGAAAATTGTCATCTCCTTTCAAATGTCCTGTTCACCTGAGACAGAAGCAGAATTGCTTCTGTTCTTTCAGTTGCTATTTCAGCTCTCAGTTGCTGAGGAAAGAAATGCCTAGCAGTTATTTTGAACTGTATAGATTTTCTGTACATTCTGTTGTTTTTGGAAAATGGAGGTAGGAATTGTCTCCTCAGTAATTAATTAAAAAAAAAAAATAGAAAAAAGAAAAAAAAGAAAAGGGCATTCATGAAACTTCTTGAAAATAGAGGTAGCTTAATGTTTGGTATACTAGAAAAAGGGAGATGGAGGGATGCGAGAGAGAGATGATGTGGGCTAAAAGAATAATCCATGTTCTGAAAAAATAGAAGCAGCAGATTATATCTTTCAAAGCTAAGGGAAAAGTGCACCAAGGAAAATATATGCATGGATAGATAGGAAAGGTGACACTGCAGAGATACTGTGTGGAAAGAATTAGCAAAATATATACAGAGGATGAACGTGAGGACTCAAGCAGAAGTCCAAGCCCAACATGTTCTGAGATCCTGAATGTGAGAGAGGGGCCAG